ACAGATGTGTAGGATGTTGTTTGGCCACCTAAAGATGATCAGAAGTTTAATAATAAACTATTATTACATTTTAACCCTCCCACTGTCCTAATGGGTGTGACCCTGCGAGGAAAGTTGACTATTAAGCAGGGTTGATGGTTTATCCCTTGAGGTCCACGTGGCAGGAGTGAGCACCACCTCACCCCTGCCACGTGGACCTCATGGGATAAACTATCAATCCTGCTGGTCAACTTTCCTCAAGGGGTCACCCTTAAAGACAGTGAGAGGGTTAAACAACATATTTAGTGGATGACTACATTGCAAACACATAATAACATAATCAGAAAATGCCCATAAAGCTGAGGTTGACAATAGAGATGAACACATCTCAGCAACACACACGGCTAATACAAATGTGTAGGGAGTCACAAAGCACAAAGGGGCAAGGGCATGTAGAAAAAAAATAATCACACAGCCATAACACAAAACTCACACACACACACACACACACACACACACACACACACACACACACACACACACACACACACACACACACACACACACACATCCTGTAACACTTGCCACACAAATCCAGTGGAACCACTTAGAGCTCTGCTCACCTGGTAAATCAGCTCAGGTTTAACCCTTTCCCTGCCACAGGAGAACAAAGTCTGACTTCTCCACTATAAAAAGTCATGCATGTATATAAAAAAATCAGACATAGGTTTGTAACATCCAAATGGACACGACAGGAAGGGCAGAAAGACGTCATCTGGACCATGACATCCCAACCACACCATCACGGACACACTCCCACTGACTAAACAGTCCGTTTATTACAAGGTCTCTGAAGCAGCCTTACTAATTAGGTTTAACCTTTTTAACCCATTTCCTTGTTTTTGTGTGGTTTAATGCTGATCTTTTTTCTATCTGAAAGACTGCAGTTCAACAGTCATCCTTCACTTTTACTTGGTCAAGGATTAAAATAAGGCTTCCCCTAGTTTATGGTCTTGGTGTTCAGTAGTCAAAGCAGAAAAGGGACAAACAATTAAAGCATTTGAAATGTTTAGTATAATAATATTAATCAAAAAGTGCGGAGCCTCAAGGGGACTGGTTCCTGCTTAGATCTGATCGGGTCCTGAGCTCTACAACAGGTTGCTCGTCTTTTCAGGAATAAGTAAACTTGTTGATATTCATGAGAAGTAAACAAATTTAAAAAATCTGTCCAAGTTGTGAGCCAGAAGAGGCAACTATGCTTCATTTGCAGCTCTGACATACTTACAGGTTTAAGATCCCCGTAAGAGCTTTTCTGAAACCAGAACATGTTTGCATGAACACGTAGGAGCCGAGGCTGCATTGATTCATGGTTGCATGTGGAGCACGAACTCCAAAGCAACATCTAGTGTGTGTTTCCGTTCATCAGGTTACCAGGTTTGCTGCCGATACATGAAAGGTTTTAATTGGGTCCATCTGTTGTAGGCTTCACCTAAACTCTGGTTTTAGATCTTTTATGGTCGCTCCTCTTCTCAGAAGGATAACGACTTCTTGACACCCTGAGTCCGCCATTTTCCACAGTGCCAGCCTCGCCGTGCCGAGCGGACTGTTGGGCAACCTGCAATTGTGCTCTCTATTGGCTGGATTGGCTAAAAGTAAACATAAAGCCAGTGTTGTACCGTCAAAACAAATACATTTTTTTATTCAAATATAGATTTCAAAGGAAATACTGTATCTTCATTCTGCACACCTCTAAACGCCCTGTGGAGGTATCTTTTTCTTACAATATAGCTTTTTTTTTTACTGTGTGGGCATCGGAACGAGCCCTCGCCCCGTGAGAACAAACATCCCAGCTCTAAAGCTGATCTTCATCTGCATACGTCACACGTCATGTGATCAGAAAGCAGAAAATCCATGTGTTAACAGATCGTTTTGGGCCGTTGCTGTAAAAAAAGTGAGGCGCGAACTGGAAAAGCTTCTGCCGATCACAATTCAACAACGGATTATGAAAGAACGGATAACGCTTGAAACGCGCGAATTCTTCCTGATCTAAGAGGTGAGTCTCCACTTTGTTTAGGTTGTTTTGGCGTCGACATCATCCTAGCGCACAACGTTCTGGGACTCTTAATAATAATAATAATAATAATAATAATAATAATGCATTGAACTTATATAGCGCTTTTCTAGACACCCAAAGATGCTTTCACACACTCTCACATTCACACACTGCTAGTGATGGTAAGCTACTTGTAGCCACAGCCGCCCTGGGGAGGTCTGACAGAGGCGAGGCTGCCATTTTGCGCCGTCGGCCCCTCTGACCACCACTAACACAGTCAAGTTGGGTGAAGTGTCTTGCGCAAGGACACAACAGCAGAATACCCCTGGCGGGAGCTGGAATCAAACCCATGACCCTCCGATCATGAGGCAACCCGCTCTACCAGCTGAGCTACTACTGCCCCACAGTAAAAACGGTGAAAAATGCAAGCAGCGAAGGGCTTTGCCGATCAGGAAACGGCTGGCAGTGAACAAATAAATTGTTCCATATTCTACTTTTAAAGAAAATTCCCTTTCAGTGTATTGAATTCAATACAACTTTATTTATAAAGCACTTTTCAAACACAAGAGAAACTCAAAGTACTGACAATCAATTTCCCTCTGGGATTAATAAAGTATTTTTGAATTGAATTTGAATTGAATTGAAGTACTGACAAAGTACTGACAAAAAAATCTAAATGAAGACAAAAGTAAACTAAAAAAACTAATTTAAAGGAAGTTTTAATTAGATTTTTAAATTAACACAATAAATGAATTAGGGCATGTAAGGAACTACATTTAAATCACAAAAAGTGAAATAAAAAGATGATTAAATGAGTGAACTTCATATTTAAGTTTAGAAATTCAAGCAGCAATTCAATAAATGAAAAGCCCCGCCCATTTAGCCTTTCCCCCTCCTTCCATCAGTCAGCAGCCTCAAAGCCTGGACCAATAGCCAACTCAGCTCGAGGGTCTGAGGTCATGAGCCAGAAAGCCTCCGTCACACATTTCATTAGGATTATGTCTCCAACATGCTGTTCAATAAAGACTTGCTGTTTTTCTAAATCTCTAATGGTCTAACCCTGACTCTTTAGGGCCACCTCCCCATATGAATACTTGTTAAATACCCACTGATCCAAATCAGGTGTGTTGGAGCAGATCATGTCTAAAACTTGCAGACTAGTGGTCCTCAAAAGCCACCAAGGATTTGGGCAAAGAAGTGATATAAACATGGAAGTAATCTACATAAGAAGAACCTACCAGACAGGAGGAAATTAACATTGGTATATTTATATAGATCCTCAAATGTTCATGAGAACCACACAAAAGTAAGGAAATACAGATGGACACATTCTCTGCACCTTCACACTTCTCTGCAGGTCACATTTCATAGCAACACAAGAAAAGTTCTGCTCATGGAGAACAGCTTCAGACGAAGAAGAGGAGAGAAACAGATGGGAAGAATTGGCGGAGACAGACAGGAAAAACGAGATAGGAGCTATCGATTGGTTGGAGTTGGCTCAATCTGCTTCTGAACTTTATCACAAACGCTGAACATCACAGCAGGAAGCTCTCTGATATCCCTCTAAAGGAGAGAACACAGGAATGCTCACTCACTATTCTTCATTCACATCTCCTTCGTTTTCATTTTTTCCTTCCACCCCCAGCAGCGCCTTTTAAAAGAATATTTTCCTGCCTGCAAAATCTTTTTTTTCTTCTTGCCTCTTAGATCTTTCACTTTCTCCCTTTGTCTTCCACCTCTCCCCGTTCCTCCACATCTTCTCCTGCAGCTGGCTTATTAGCATTCTCTCTGTACATGTAATTGATTCCTCATGCCTTCCTTTTGTGAAAATGTCATTCATAATTCTATGTGATAGCTGGCTGGCTGACGGAGCGGTTGGCTGTCTGTCTGACTGAGGCAAAGTGGCCGCTGACCCATTTGTAGCACATACAAAGACACTGACAACCAAATCTGATTATAGCAACCAGATCAGGGCTCCGGTGAAACAACTGGCCTGAGCTTAGACCCTGTCCTGAGCCGTCATTCATCCCTCTGGGCTCGTCGGTCAATGCAGCCTTTACTTTACTCTTTAGTACCTCCAAAATTCAGAGTTCAACTGAAGGAGGCTGAAGATGAGTTAGTGAGGAAGCACTTGTGCACCCACCGCCTTTCTTAATACTAATGAAAGGGAATTAGGCACAATTGCTCAATCTATTAACCCTCTCAGGCTCCAAATAAGTTTTGATAAAAAGACAAACTACTACGTCCTTCAGGGGTACTTCTGAGTTAAAAAATGCTCATGAAATATGCATGTGGAGTAACCAGGTAGGTAGGTTTTAACTGTTGCAAATCTGCAACGCCTGCCTCCAGAGGGTTAAAACTGTGTGTGTGCATGTGTGTAGCTGTTTCACAACAGACATGGGCA